GTCTGAAATTGTTTTTAGCGTTAATGGTTTAATCTTTTGGTCTTTTGCGCCACAAAGAGGTTTAGTAGAAACATCTATTTTTAGTTCTTGTAACGTAACATTTATTTACAGTAGCAATATTGAAATTCTCTTTGGTTGGCGAAAAACATTAGAGCTGACACGTGTTTAATTACTAATAATCATTTATTTCGCATTCTAAATACATAGTGTTAGTAACAAAATAACTTAAAAATTAGTGTTAGTAACAATAGGGAAAGTACATTTTAATATTTATTAGATTCCCCTGTAGAAAGGCGACCCTTTACAGGTCCGTGACATGGGAAGCGACAAAGGCGTGGACGCGATTTAAATCCGGAAAAATAGTTTCATTTCCTATTAAAATTAGCGTCAAATTATAGTATTTACAAAAAAAAGAGATTGTTTATTTTCCGACTGCACAAGCGTGTCAAGCTCTGTACAAATACTGTTCTAGTATATTAACTTTTGCTGTAGATATCAAAATCGGTATAATTATTTTTGTTTTATGATATCAAGCGACTCAGAACTTTAAATCGCAAAGATCTGAGGGCCACTGCCACTGTGCCTGTCACCCTGAGACATAAGTTGACGAGTCCCATTATTTTTCTGCCGCCAACATTGACTTACAAATAAATGGACGACGGGTCTAATACAAAAACCACGAAAAAAATGTCCCAAGTCAACCTATTCGAAATTTAAATTGTAATGTCATCGCAGTATCGCGCTGTCAGTAGAACAAATGAAGACTAAAGCGGAGTGTCGCGCTCTGTGTACGATTTTAGCGCCTTACAAGTGCGGACACTTTTTAGCGCGGACCCGACGTCCATATAATTGTAAGCCAATGGCCGCCAAGCAGTAATATCAGCGTTACTGTGTTCCGGTTTTGAAGGGTGAGGGGTGCTGGTGAAATTACAGGCACATGGGACTTAGTCAAGTTACTAAGTTACTGTCAAGTTATGTCTCTGGGTGATGGGCACACATGCAGTGCACCTCAGATCTTTGCGATTTAAAGCTCTGAGTGGCTCTGCAACTGTTATGGACAGGTGTGTCGTTTACCATCAGTTCGTCTCATAACTTAGTATCATAAAAAAACGTTTTAATGAAGATTCAAATAAACCTTAAGCAAAGACAAGTGTTTTAATCATCGACACAGTCTCATCCCTAAACTTTATGAAAAACGTAATGTCAAGTGTCGACCATAGACAACTATGTGGCGACACACATTTTCAAAGAAATAAGCGTTGTTTACACTTCTAGTGCCTATTTATTTACATTTATGTGGTTCTAGTTCACTTAGCGTTAGCTCCTAAATCCCATTTAAACAGCCCGCTGCAACCGTAATGACTGTTTTTAAACAAAGGTTTTAGTTTTTTTTAAATTTACATGCTACTTCTTCGATAACTCAAGCAAAATGAAAACAGAAAAACCCTTGTCGCATAATTACAATAAATGTGAAACTTAACTGTGAGTTTATGCTAATACATGCTAATTCTTCGAGTTAACTCTAATAAAGGACACGAACAATAAACTTGTAGAAGCTGACTATAATACAGCCCTTGGTGGTAACAAGATTCTCCTTTTTCTTTAACAATGTTTTTACTTTTTCATTGCTTTTTTGCCGTCTGTTGAAACAATGAAAGTCTTATGTTAAAAATTTCTTTCGTTGCTATTTGAAGTTAATATTCGTGCTAAGCAAGAGCCGCAGCACATAAAATTATACAATCTGTACAATATAGTTCACAACAAACAGTAAAGTCAGGCGACCGTAAAAGGGGAACGAGCCAAAACAGAGACAAAAAGTTATTGCCTTGTCAGCTTTTTCTATATGCTTCAATGAGTTACGTCTTTCCCTAGTTCCTGATTTGAAATTTGTGTCGATATTAAAAATAAACAGGTATCGCTTTACGACTTCAATCTATAGACAAGAACATTCACACCAACTATATTTTATAAACTGTTCCAAATAAAACCCTATCAATAGTGACAGCGTTTGGTTTTTGTGTTGAATTTTGTCAACAGGCTAGACAGTCGTCCAACGATAAATAAAACGTTAGGACATAATTTGAACGCGCCCTTATCGTAACCGACATAGTAACGTCACTATTTCGTCGTTTACTGGCAAAAAACTTGTTGTATGTTTGTAACCTAAAACGTCTGAAAGTTTGAAAAATCTTTAGATAGAGAGAAAAATTATTGTAAGCGCCAAAAAAGACCTAACATCCAATGTTTAAAAAAAATATATCTGTTACTCTATCGATTACAAATTATAATTATTTATTTATATTAAAATTCAATTTAGTGTCATACGTATATCTACATATATACGCTTAGAATAATAACGCATAGAATGATAGTTTCATATCAAACGAACTGTCACAAGTGAGGCAAAAATCAAATTCATGTAGGCTAGTTTTAGTAGTAGGTTAATTTTCGGTTTTAGTGAATATTTATATAAAAATACAAGTTGAAACGCGTTACTTCCTTATGGAATGTGATGTTAGTATCTATTTTATGTTTGTCTGACGTATTTTTACACTCAATTACCGCACATTTCGTCATTTTTAGCTAAAATTCTGGAGCTGTTCGCGGTGCATGTTGACCTTGAGCACTGAAGGCCCGCCCGCTCGTGTAGGCCCTTTTGGCGCGCTTCAATTTGCCCCACTTAGCGTGTGCGGACTAGGTTTCTATGCGTTATTAATCTAAGTATATACGTATGTCTACACATATTAAAAAAAACTCACCTGCAAAATTTGTTTTTTTTTTTGCCGTTAACATTAAGTCTCCGGTAATGGCTCGATACCGGTTTTTCAATAGTTTCACTTTTATTGATAAGCAAAATCAGCATAATTACTTAACAAATTTTTTGGTTTTCTTTACTCGGGGTTGTGTGTTTCATATTTTTTCTGTGATTATTTAGTACCCAGATATGTGAAGCGCATTGTTGATTTATTGATTTATGATTCGCATGTAAGATAGATGTAGGAATTGTAGTGCTGACGACGTGCTGATTGAGCGATTGGTCCATTAATTAACTCTGTTATTCAGGTGTGGACACCGTTGCCACGTATTTAGTCTATAGACATAATAAAATTGTCGCGTGGACGGTTCCGGTTTTGACGGGTAAGGGTGCTGGTGAAATTATAGGCACATAGGACTTGTCAACTTATGTCTCAGGGTCTTCCTCCAATCTTTGCGATTTAAAGCCTTGAATGGCACTGCACCTGCCACTTGGTATCGTAAAAAAATACTATTATCGAGTCCACTGAAACTCTTGGTAAGGCTGTGAGACCATAATAAGCTGAGTGGATGATTTATTCCGTAATAATACAGCGCACACTCTGTTATACCATTTTTTGTTCATAATTTATTTTAGTTATTTAGTCGCATTATTAAAACGAGGTCTTTCAACTCGAGCGTAGATTTTAGCAGGTGAGGTGTAGGGGTTGCCTCTCTAGTCCCGCAATCCGCGAGCTGTAAATAAGAATAAAATGAGAACAGGCGGGGAAAATTTAACACAGATCTAACGTCGACAAGCGCCCTTGGCGATTGACGGTGCAGCGGCTGGTCGTTAAATCGCTGGGCAGTTTGCAAATTTTGAATTTAATAACTAATATGGCTTCACTTGAAAACCAAAATTTAGCAGGTTCTCTGTAGTATTTAAAAAGAAATATCTCTATATAAAACTTATGTACCAAGCTAGTTAACTTATTCTTAAATAATGCGTTTTAGTTTTTTATTTTAGCTTTTTTTCAGGATTTTATATGATAGAGTAAAGTACATCCTGCTATCGTGTAACACATTGGTCCATCGTTTAGATATTTTTGTAAGGCCATTCATATAACTAAACTGGTTACCCAGTTATTATATTCCGTTATTAAATTTTACAGAAAATGTGTTCCTCTCCATGTACTGGTCAAACGTACTAGAACTCTATTAGACCAAGGCAAGCATTACTTTATTTCAAAATTTACAATGTTTTTACAAAGTAGATAAATATTAAGGCGATTAACACAACACCGCGCTCCGCGACAGTTCACGGGACACGGAATCACGCACGCGGTGGCATAGAGGCAGATCTGCGTCAACGCGTGGCTTAATCTGCGCGAGGGCAGCGGTCTAGCGGCCCCGCACCAGTTAAAGTACTCGCTTCGTAGTGGATCGCCGTAGTGATTGTGCAATGTAGATGAGATCCTTCTTTGACAAGAATGGTTAATAATACAGAACTAATTCAGGACGCTGCAGTTATACTATCTATTTGGTTTTTGTTTACTCAAATAAAAAGACACCGAAGGTGATATTCAACTTCATTACAAAGATTTATTTATTTATTATACGTCTACTGAATCCTTTGATAACTGGAATATACACAAATTTATTCTCGTAAATTTGTGTTCGCCGCGATCTCCCCGCGCGGGGGCGCGGTGAAACGTTGTCAGTGTGTTCGACGGCGCGTGTTTTCCATACAAACTGAGGTACTTCAGTAAAACGTTAAAAAACGCAGCTCCGCGCTCCGTCGCGGGGCGCGGTGTAGTATGATAATAGCCACTGACAACAAGCGGCATGTCGCTAACTGATGGTTTGCCATCATTGCCCGGACAGCTATACAAAGGGGAACGCTGCCAGCATCTTAGGTACCTTCACGCGGGGACCCAATTTTATTCATATAATTTAATCCTAGTTTTATTTTCTAGTATTTAAGCTTTTATTGTACCTGTGCTGTATATTTCAACTAAAACCTTACTGACAACCTGATAACAATCATAACAAAATATTATTTATTAATTTACTATATTTATCTGAATCTTAATACCTTACAAATGAAGCTTTTGCAATAATATTAACAAACTAGTCTAATTAACTCTTTCGAAAGATAAACAAACCTCAGATATCAATCTGTAATTAAAAAGATATAATACGATAAGCGCTTTCAATATAATATTAAAAAGATAAAGCTAAACGTTTGTTTTATTATATTACCGACAATGAAGTGGTTGAGTTTGATGTTTTTGGTCGGTGCTGTGATTGCTAAGCATGAGGAATATCATGGGTACGTTATTTAAGTATTGCTTTCATTGTAATTAAGTTTGGAGGTTTCAGCACCATGAAATTAAATTATTTTTTGTGAAATTACTTCACTAGTTTGTTATAATTATTAATTCAAAGATCGAACGCTTAGAAAAAATTCTTCGATTCGGCTGGATTCAAACCAACGTTTTCTAGCAAACCGTGTCAGACGCTATGCCAACTAAGCCACGGAACGAACCAGTGGAAGTTATAAATTTCTCTACGTGCTAATTGCATATCTTTGTTTTGGTTTGTTACCGACTTTTTGCCGCAGCGCCATTTGTAAGAAATATATTTCTTCACTCAGCCAGTCAAAATCAAAATCAAAATAATCTTTATTTCATAGGTAAGCATTATTACACTTGAAATCGTCACAATGGTTAAACTCTACCGCTCATTCGTAAGGCAGATTCCCCTGAGAAGACTGAGCAAGAAACTCTTTGTAAACAACATTTGTACACATTCAACATTTACAATATACTTTTTTGTTTTGAAACATCAGAGATCGAGACTACCTATGTAGTAGCAGTAGAAGTCCTTGTGAAAGAGTTCGTCCAGTGTAGTACTGCTACCTTACCTACTTCTGCCGCAAAGCAGTAATGTCAGCGTTACTGCGTTCCGGTTTTGAAGGGTAAGGGTGCTGGTGAAGTTACAGGCACATGGGACTTGTTAACTTATGTCTCAGGGTGACGGGCGCAGTGGCAGTGCCCCTCAGATCTTTACATTTTAAAGCTCTGAGTGGCACTGTAACTGTTATGGACAGGCGTGTAGCTTACCATCAGGCGCACGACTTGTTCGTCCCGTCACTTGACGTTATAAAAAAAATTAAAAAAAAAGAGCTAAACGGTTTACTACCACGGATTTTTGTCATCCAAGTACGCAGAAGTTGCATAATAATAAATATTCTTTAGTATAAAGTTTTTGTTTCACTATAGTTTTAAATCTCGTGAAAGGCAAATTTTGTATATCAACCGGAATCTTGTTATAGAAGCGTATACATTGATACCCCTTAAATGAATTTGTGACTTTGTGAAGACGACTATTAAGAACAGCTAGTTTATATTTATTCCTCGCATTAATGTTATGTCTGCCACTATTTTTCATAAATGTACATTTCCTTTAACTTAATTCTCAAAGGTGCTCTGGGGTCCAGATTGTAAATTGCCCTAAGCGCACGTTTCTGTAGCTGCCTTTATAGCTCCCAGCAGCTGACTAGGGATGTTGCTTATATAATCCATCGAAGGACTTTTTTCTTTAAAAACTATCGAAAATTGTTTGTAGTAGGTAGTTCACGAGCATCTTGCCATAGTATTATAAGACAAGAAGGGTACATTATACGAACGCACGCGCCCTTCATTATAGAATTGAAACGTAGGTCAGATGTGATAATGATGGTAAGAGCATTTGCGCACTACGTCTGATTCGTACAAAAATTAAAAAACTCATGATGCAAATGAAGCTTCATACTTGACATGGTCTTTTTGATTTGGTCGAGTATTAATTATTTGACAGTAATTGCTTGTAATGAGAATGAGAGTCATCGAGTATATAACCAGAAATAGAGACGAATGTCATTTAATTAATACATAAAAACACATCACATAAAAAACTATTCTGCCATATCATTACTGTGACAACTGCGCTCCGATTGGCTAGCCCGAGTTCGAAACAATTGACGGGTGTCGTCAATGGGTGTCGTCAACTGTTTTACTTCAAATCGACCAGTTAACTTGAGCTTTGCTATAATGGACGAAAATTGCAAAATTATATATTTAATATTTAATTACCCATGAAATGTGAGACGTTCGATTTGTAATTAGATGTTTTGCTGTTTTTCCCACACCACCGAATAGAACAACACGGCTTTATTACAATAAATACAGAATATTTTTTGAATATACGGAGACGTACACACAGGTCAGTAGTTGGCCTGTCTATATTTCAATGCAAACGAGAGTTGATATTTATAAGAGCTGTATCGCTAATGTGTTACCAGGACATGGTATATGACCCTTATTTCGTCTCTATTTCTGGTTATATACTCGATGATGAGAGAGAGAGAGAGAGAGATGAGTGGACTTAGTACACAAGCGAGATCCGAAGTGGGTCCGGGTTTTCTAGATTTGTATAGTCTCGTATTGCGAACGAATACGAATCGGATGTCGTGCGCAAACGCACTTCGAGTGACTTAAATTCAAAATTATTCAGTACTTCTTTTCTATTTCATAATCATACTCCCATCGAGACAAAATCCGCAATGCCGATATAAAAATATCAATACGTAAATACTGCATTTAACAAAGGTTATTTCAAAATAACACGAGAATAATGTGATAAAAACATTATTTATTTCAAATTATGTTTACAACCTGTAGGTACAAATAAAATAATTACTTGACAACCCTAAGGCGGGACTTGCCCTACTTGTCTTAGGGAGTCACTACACTTATTAAAGCGGAATCGGCTTGAACCGATCAGAAAAAGGTATACCTTTGCAACTTTGTAACTTTATTTAGGCATTTTGCTTCTCCTCGGACCGCCGACCAGAAACACATAACGTCTTTTTCGCTATTATTACGTGGACATAAAACTTTTTCTCACCGGCTAATGCAATTTACTTACGATAAACATGGTGACCACTTACTTTTTCTCTCTCACTCAATCCGGTTACCAAAACAGTTACCTAGAAACTCATCAATTTTCAATCTCAAATCCAGTTACGTGTTACTAAAACAAAACGTATATTTTTATTCCAGCTACTCACTATTTGAAGTGCAAGCAAAGGACACCAGTCAAGCCAAGCTGCTAAACCAAATTGAAAACGAAGCTCATGGTGATATTTGGTCTCATGCTCTGCCAGGTCGCCCCGGATATGTCTTGATCTCCAAAGATGAAAAACATAAATTTCAGGATGCTTTGGAAGCTGCTGGACTAGAGTACAAAATTCAGACTGAAAATATAAAGGAGTAAGTAAGCACACAGTTCAAAATTGTACAACACTTAAACATTGATTAATATTGATTCATGCGGCGTCGGGAATTGACTCAAAGTCAAAGTCAAAGATTATTTATTCCATAGGTAAAATAAATTTACACTTGAAAACGTCACATTTAAGCTACTGCTCGTTCACTACGGTGACCTCCCTGAGAAGAACGAGCAAGAAACTCAAGGGATTGCTCCTTTCAAATAAACTTAGTGTGAGTGTGCTTTACAGCTCCGCCACCAAAAAGAGATTTAATATTGGACTTCGGAGTCGAGTTAGCGGTGGCAATCGTTAGTTACGCAGTGCGCAAAGCGAAGAGAGCGTGCCTATAGCTGCGGTACCTATCTGGAAAATAGGGAGTGCTGTACTGATCTGAGGTCAGGTCCTGACTGAGAAGGTATCTGTGCAGGTTTTGGTGCCCTTCCCGTGGAACTAAGAGGTTGATAGGGAGGGTCACTAAACGCAACTTATGTAGAAAAGATATGGGATTGTCCTGGTGTGAATTACCGTCTCACCTTGGAAAGGATGCCAAGCTTCCTGGCTGCATTTTTAGCCATTTCTTTCTTCCGAGTGCTGTATTGTATATACTATAGTTTTATTTGTCTAATAGGTGTCACCGAATTGCCGAGAATCCGTCTCAAATTGTAAGTAAATAGGTCAAATAGTCCTCTACACGTT